GATGCGCACCCGGGATCCGAACCCGGGCCACCAGCATCGCAGCGCGCGCACTTAACCACCAAGCCACAGGGCCGGCCCGTAACCTTTGTTTCTAATATAGTCTATTTTAGTTGATAAATAAAGAGCAAAGGTTTTAGAAAGGAGGTGCCCCATAAATTATTAAAAGTTGGGATTGTCATTTTTCACTCTTTTCCTTTTATTTCTGCTCTGTTTCTCTTGTTTAGAGTATAGTAGTATCCTTAACTGCTCTGTCTCTAGTATGTTTTCTTGTAGTCATGCATATCATTGCTGTTATGTTAATATTTTGAAAGTGTGTCTGACGTCAGTCCTTTCTTTCAAAACTCATCGTTGGGGGAGGCCCTGTGGCGCTGCGGTTACGTGTGCGCGCTACACTTCAGTGGCCCGGGGTGCACAGGCTCGGATCCCGGGCACGCACTGACGCACTGCTTGTCAAGCCATGCTGTGGTGGTGTCCCGTGTAAAGTAGAGAAAGATGGGCACAGATGTTAGCCCAGAGCCAATCTTGCTCAGCGAAAAACAAGAGGAGGATTGGCATCGGTTGTTAACTTAGGGCTGATCTTCCTCACAAAGAAAAAAACAAAAACACCTCATCTTTTATAAGTCTCAGTTCAGTCTGGTATTCTGAGCTCATGCTTTATCTTCCAGTACTCTACTACCTTTTAGCCAAGAGCTTTCTCTAGACACCTTATTGTACAATGGCCTCAGTTTCTGACTTACCAAGTCTACTAGTTCATCTAAGTCACAACTCAGGTGTCACCATTTTGATAGGAAAGTAGGTTGCTAATAGTACATCTCATAGATGGTACCTGTACCGCATTTAGTAGCATTTTAACTTCTTAAGGGCTCAATTGGATAATATTGTGTAGTTATTAGTTATTTAATAAATACGTTATTTTAACACTTGTCTGTTAAACATCCTCTTGGAGGAGGAGAATCCTTGTCTTTTTTTAATATTGTATGCCTGTAGCGCTTAGCATTTTTGGCAGACAGTAAGGCATTTAGTAAATATTGGGTGAATTAAATCAGCAAATGACCTTGTAAATTTTGTTTACTAGGAACACAGTTGTACTTTACCAAAAAATTGCCCAAGATCACAGCTTTTTTCATTGGTAGGGAGTATAGCTGTCACTCAAGAAAAGTTACACATAAGAAGATTTACCTTTTTGTTTTGATTATAGGAAGTAGAGCAGCTAAGAATGGAACGCCTGCAGATTGATGAACAGCTACGACAGATTGGTATGGGTTTCAGACCTTCTTCCACCAGAGGGCCTGAAAAAGAGAAAGGATATGCCACTGATGAAAGTACCGTCTCTTCTGTACAAGGTTCTAGGTCTTATAGTGGAAGAGGCAGAGGTCGTCGAGGCCCTAATTACACCTCCGGTTATGGTAAAAAACAAATTTTTTTTTGTAGTAGTACTAGTTTAGGCGCTCCAATAGGTTTTGCTTATTATTATTAACTTAGTTCACCATTCTGTCTTGGCTTTGAGGGCAGGAGATAGTTCTGAGGTGTATGTCTTAATGGTAGTGACAACATACTTTATATTAATGACAGTAAAAGGTGCATAATGTTCAGGCAGCTATTTAATGAAATGAAACATGTTTTTTAAGTTGGTAGTTCGTGATCATGTTTATTCCAAATATTTAGAATAAATATATATGAAACTTGTTTTCCAAATATTTCACTTGTACAATTGTATACATTTTCCAATAGAAACCTAGTAATGGTGGTGATACTGGTAGGAATCATCTTTTGCCTACCCTCTAGGAAAAGTAAAAACAAAAAATAATGCTAATCACTGTGCCAAGATTGCATGTATAGCAAATCTGTACTAGCTTTTAAAATATACTCTATTGGCCCATTCAGCAGTTTTGAATATTAATATCTCATATCTGGAATTATTTTGTGAAATCCAGCGTTTCATTAAAGTGAGGGGTTTAAAAGCCCAGAACCTAATTAACATTTTATAAATGAACATTTTTTTCTAAAGTGTATGTCACCGTAAGGATGGGGCCTAACCCATGTAGGAAGGGGCCAATGGATGGTGATGGTTAAGAATTCTCTAATTCTAAATTCTCACTTATTCTTCTTCAGCTTTGGAGTTGTTCCATTTTTCTACATTTGGACTTGGATCTTGGCAGTGACCTGATTTTTTTTCCTCCCTTGTTTCCTTCCCTTTCTCTTCCCTTCTTTCTTCTCTATTCCCCTGTGCTCATCCTAACTGCTTTGGGAAAATATTTCATAAGCCTTTTCCAAAACAGAAGGCATTTAGGGAAAGTAGAAATACACAAAAGCCTACAGTGTGCTGATTCCACATCCAAGTTTCATGTGTGACTGGAACATTATCTAATGATGCCAGAGTGCTATTAAATTTGTACTATCTTTCATTTGTTGTAAGAGTTGGAAGGTTAATTATACCTTCCCTTTTACATCCTCATATTTTTGTGTTTTATTAATATTTTTAATTTTAAAGTTAACCCTGTTTTGAATCTTGAAAAGCAAAGTTCCAGTAAAGTAAAAGCATTTATAGCATATGAAGGGCTGAGAATTGCAAACTATTTTATTCCTGAAAATACTTTTAATACAAAAGATAACCAGTAATTAAATAGAAATTAAGTATATAATTAATGATTTTAGAGGTATGAATTACTGGTACAAATAATCAGGTTTGGCTTTTTGGATGATGAGGATGATGAATTCATTGAAGAATTTTATAAGTCTATGTGGGAAGTCCACTTATTGATGAGAGGTCATTCCTTGGCAAAATGCTTTTGTTGACAGTAGGTGGTAAATTTATATGATAGTGGTAGAGGAATATCATTTGAAGAAAGCTATGCAAATTGTTCAGTAGATGGCACTCTTACCTCTGAATCTTTGTAGACTAGTAACATATTTCTTGAAATAGCTGTTGAACTTAAGTGGCCTTAAGAGAAATAAAAACCATTTGACTTTGGTTATAGATGTTCTTGTCCATTTGATATCAGAAGGATTTTTAGGTGATAATATATATATATGCTGTATAAGAAACATTTTCTTAATGTAACATCTCTGAAGTTGGTATCTGTCTTACAATGGATGGTGTCTTACAACTTTAATTGGCAGCATTTTCTTTAATGACACACAAAATACTGTGTCTTACAATGAATGGCATGTGGGATTTGATAAAGTGTGGTACTTTAGCTATTCAGTTTAGCATATATAATCATTCAAAAGTATGTAAACCTTTATAAGGTGATTTAGAAGTTTTAGGAGAAAATTTGATTTAAAATTTTGTTAAAAACAAGTCTATTTGTTAGAGTGATTTAAAAATGCTTCATGAAACTGATCCAATTTTTAAGCTATTTTAAAAAAGATTTCTGGATTCATGAACATACCTTTTACAAAATTGAGAGATTGCTATGGTTGCAGTGATTTCAGCAGAGTATTCGTTTTCTATTGACGCCCTAACAAATTACAAACTTAGAGGCTTGAGCAACACAAATTGATTATCTTATGGTTCTGTAGGTGAGAAGTCTGACATGAGTCTCACTGGGCTAAAATTTAAATCTGAGTGTCGGCAGGGCTGTATTCCTTTCTGGAGGCTCTAGGGGGAGAATCTGTTTCCTTGACATGGCCAGCTTCTAGAGAGATGACCTCCATTCTTTGGCTTATGGCCCTCTTTGCCTCTGTTGCCTCCATTATAAAACCAGTAACTGCAGAGAGTCCTTTATGCTGCCATCTCTCTGGTTCTCTGCAGCTGAGAAAGGTTCTCTACTTTTAAAGGTCCATGTAATTAGTTTGGCCTCACCTGGATAATCCAGGGTGACACCCCTGTGCGTCCCCCCACCCTCCATATCGTAACCTTAATCACATCTGCAGGGTTCCATTTGCCATCTCAAAAATGTTTAAAGGATATTTAGTATGAATAAAGTGGAGCACTAGCCAATGCAGTAGCCCTTTTTGTTTTTGACTTTAATACCTTTCTTATCTACTAAAATCTATTTATGATTTAGACACCCTCTTTTAAGTATCTTGAATACTAGATTTAGATTAAACCTAAGGAAGAATTTCCTTGCTTGTGTTTTTGTTAGTGCCTTCGAGTTGATTCCGAGTGGAACCTTGCCCGATCTTTTTTGGGCCATCCTCTCACCTTCCGGTGCTATATCAGACAATGCTCTGCCGCTATTCACAGAGTTTTCATGGCCAGTTTTTTGTGCATTGGGTAACCAGGTCCTTCTCTTAGTCTAGAGGCTCTGCTAAAACCTGTCCACCATGGGTGACCCTACTGGCGTAGCTTTCAGCATCACAGCAACACGCAGCCACCACAGTATGACAACCGACAGGTGGGTGGTGTGGTTCCCTGACCGGGAACAAACCTGGGCTGCAGTGGTGAGAGTACTGAGTCTTAACCACTAGACCACTGGGGCTGGCTCCTTGTTTGTGACATTGAGTTAAATACCACACTATATTAGAGAAGAGAATTTAACAGGAACTTTTGTGAAAACATGTAAAAACGAGATATTCACCTAGCTTCAAATTTTGGTAATGTTTTTAGGCAGGCTGTATATTTGTAAATAAATTCAGAAGTTCTTACATTCCAAAGGTTTTTTTCACTACTCATGAAATGATAAATCGCCCTATTCCAACAAACCATAATGTTAGTTAATAAAGTTCTTTTTTATCATTTGGAGAAATAAGTGTTTGGGACATTCATTCTCTTCTGTGAGATTCTCATTCCTAATAAAGAGCTCAAATGTGAATAATAGAAACTTGCTATATTCTTCCTAAAATATACTTCCAACTAATTACTTAATCCATTCTTATATAATTGACTAGTTACAGCCATATTTAATGGCATGTGGAGAAAAAAGATGCATTCAGGAGTTATATTTAAAGGAAAAAGGAAGTCAGTAGGCTTCTTCATTTGTTAAACTTTACATTTTATTCCCTGCATCTTAGTACTTATAACTTTGTGCATCTGAAGAGCTCTTATGTTTTGCTTTTATCCCGAAATGACTTGTGGAATTTAAATATAGGAAACTTTTAGTTTATCATGGAATCACTCTTGTTTGGGAGATTAGCGAAGAAACTTCAAAATCATGCAGCAAATACATTTATCAAGAGAAAATTGTTATGCATATTGCTAAGTGTCTGGGGGCATTTAGAGGTATAAGACAGAGCTCTACCCTTTAAATATATCATAGACCAAGTGGGAAGTAAATCCAAAGAGGAGAAAATAGAAAACACATGACAACGTTACATGAGAGATATACGTTACTCTTGAGGAAATAAGAGGAGAGATCTGTTTTCGTTTAGGTTGGTCTGAAGCTAGAAATTGAACTAGGCTCTGAAGGAGATGTATTTGGATATATGATAAAAGGGAAGGATGGAAGTGGCATCCCAGAACAAAGAATAGAAGCGGGAATGAGTATGATAGTGAGTGGGTCATAAAAACCTGATGCTTTAATTATTATACAATAATGGTATAGGCTTTTATAGAATTCATGCAGTGTTAAAATTTTTAAAAGGTCACTATTAAAAATAGGTCGCTAGAACATTAGAAATGGTCTATAAACTTTGAAAGTCCTGCTTAATTTTTGTCTCAGTGATAATGGTTTCAGTTCTATTGATTGTCAGGTTGAAGTTGTCTTCTCTCAGAGTAACCTTAAAATTTGTTCAGTAACTTCAAATACTGTATTCTTCTAATTTAAGACACTGTTGCTCATAAAACATACTGTTACTTTAAGTACAACCACTAAAAATACACTCCCAATTTATGAGACCATCAATTACAAGAAGCATCCTAATTTCTGAGATGTTAAAATGTGAAAAAAAAAGTGCCTCCTAGAATCAGTGAAATAATGGTGGAATATACTATACAGTTAAACTATTCATTTTTCTATTTATGATTAAATTTGCTTTTAAATATTGGATAATGGTTCTTTTTATTATAGTAATTATTAAAACCTAAAAATGGGCAAAAATTTTTTTCACTATTTCCCCATATTAAGTGCATTTTCATACTATATATGTAATGTTGTGTATGTTTTCTGTAATATTCTATTGGCTGTGTTTCTGCACATCCAAATAATTCAATTTTTAATCTGACTAGTAGTTACAGTATTATATTACTAGTATAATATTAACATTGGCTTATTTTTTAGTTAATAAATTTCAAATTCATTTTACTTTTTATTTAGCTTTCTTTGAAGCAGCCAATCAGTAGGGTTATTTAAATAGTGATTTGCAGGAAATAATTTTGAAATATTTCACTCATTTTTTTTTTTTTTTAATAGGAATCTAATTACTGTGTTCTCTTCTTTCCCAAGGTACAAACTCAGAGCTGTCTAACCCTTCTGAAACAGAATCTGAGCGTAAAGACGAGCTGAGTGATTGGTCATTGGCAGGAGAAGATGATCGAGAGAGCCGGCATCAGCGTGACAGCAGGAGACGCCCAGGAGGAAGAGGCAGAAGTGTTTCAGGGGGTCGAGGTCGTGGTGGACCACGTGGTGGCAAATCCTCCATCAGTTCTGGTAGTCTTTTATATACTATGTCAGCATCCTTTCTTTGTAAACAGTATAACTTTATACAAGTTAATTCATTTCCCACGGTCCCCTATTTTTGGAGGTTTCTCTTTCTGCTCAGTGTCTGAGGAAAATAGTGGGACATACAGCGATATAAGGAAAAGCCCTGTAGAATGTTTTCTCAGTGAAGGGTTAGCTAGAATGTTCAGGTCAGAGAAACTTGATTTGGCTGATTCTCTGTTTCGATGGTCAGATGTTTATCTCATCAGTTTTTGGAGGCTTATGTAATTAGAATGTGTTTTTCCCCATAGAGTATTGGGTTATATATTTGTTTACCGGACAGACTCAGAGAATTCTAATGCACAGAGAGAGCTAAATACTTTTGTTTATTTAATATTGAAAATAAACTGAAAAGCATTCTTTGCTACACTATGTACTACGGGAACAGGGAAAAATTTTCAAATTAACCTTTAAAAAAATTTTCATTGAGGAATTGAGCTGTGAAGGAGTGTTTGGAAACAGATTTGAGGTGCATAAGCAACTTTTTACTCATATCTTTTTGAAAATTTTAAATATGATAACTTAAGCAGAGATGTAGGAGTTTCCAGAATGTTCTTGCTTAGCAGTAATGGGCTAGGGGGGAGAATTGTTCGGGATACATGGACTAGATTATATCAGGGATATAATCTTAACATATCATTATTGTATAGCACTTTAAGAAAACCACTTTAATTTTAAATTGTTACTGCATACACCCTAGGAAAGGTTATGTAATATTTTAAAGATTATAGAACATATGTGTATATATAATTAAATATACACCAAACTTGCTTACAGATTATAAAGAGCTGGAACAAATCACAAAATTTAGGGACTTTTTAAAAGGTACTCTCTGGTTCCAGTGATATTCTTTGAGTCCTAAGTCTGCTGGCTTTTAGGGAAATAGTTTTTATATTATGGTGCATTGCTCACTATTACCAAGGTTTATAAAATTATAGTATGCTGAATTACAAAATAAATGTACTTTACCTAGTGTTTATGATTAATGGATAAACTTAGTGTCTTTTGCAAAGATGATAGCTTGCTAGCTGTTACCAAAGGAAACTTAGAAAGGAAAAATCGTGATTAGGTGAATTTCTTCTATAATTTGATTGGTGGAGGCAATAAATGCACATAGGTAAGATGGGTATTTTTTTCTTATGGATTGTATCTTAAAACTTTTCCTTTCTCACCCTTACCCTACTTTACCCCACCTTACCCCACCTTCACTCTTTGTCTCTGGAAATGGGAGTACTGGTCAACATTCATTTTCACGTTTCCCTTATACCCACTTAGAATTTCAGCCTACTTTAGTTTGCTTTTTTGTGTGAACTTGTTTTGATTGCTTCAGTTCATAGTAACAGATTTCTGTTATGTCATGGAGTGCAGGTGTTGAGTATTACTCGGAAATAGTCCATTAACATTAGCACAAAGCAGCAGCAGTCACCTTGAACTCAGTAAAGAGGACAAAAGCTCTTTTCTTAGAATTAATTCATATTGGCTGAATATTTATTTCTCCTCATTTTTCTCTAGCCTCTGGGCAAGATGAGCTGGGAATGTGAATGTCTAAAATAGCATGTAATAATTAACTATTTCCTAATATATTTTCAAGTCAGAGAAATGGTAGGAAGCTGAGGTGTCTGCTCATCTTCTGCTTTAATTTTTCATTGTCATTTAAAGTTTTTTCATATTTGTTACTTTCCAGGTAAAACAGGGATACAGAAAATATTTTATTTGAAGACAATATATTTTTATTGGGAGGGAAATGTGAAGTTTCTTTATCAGTTGATAGAGTTCAATATAGATCAAAACATTCCTAATAACTACAGCTCTCTTAAATGAATATTTCTTGCCTCTGACATGCATATAGTGCTCAAAGATCCAGACAGCAATCCATACAGCTTACTTGATAATACAGAATCAGATCAGACTGCAGACACTGATGCCAGCGAATCTCATCACAGTACTAACCGTCGTAGGCGGTCTCGTAGACGAAGGACTGATGAAGATGCTGTTCTGATGGATGGAATGACTGAATCTGATACAGCTTCAGTTAATGAAAATGGGCTAGGTATGTAAGCACTTAGGGAAAAGATACATATTATTGTATAATATTGTTAATGTATGATGCTTTTTTCAAAAAAAAAAAAAACCCAGACATATGCAATTTGCAAATTGAATTTTTCTTAGTGTTTACTTTAAACAAGGTAGATAGCTTTGTGTCTGTCTTAAATGTCTAGTTCTCAGATTTGTATAGCCAAATTATTTGAAACTGGGAGGGTTGATTAAAAGTGCCCTTTGATGCCATTAAATCAATACAGATATTCAAACTGGGGGGCACTTAATACTCTCATTGTTCCTAAACTAAAATTGGGCTTTCAGCTTGCCTCTTCAAAAGTTATAAATGATGCTAGTGAAAGTATGTATATTGAGTAGGCGTTAATTTCCGAAGGGCTAAAATGGTCATAAAATGTCATTAACTTTGGTAAAAACTATAATGTATTGGAGAGGAAAACTTTATCCCTGAATGATGGTAATTTAAGTCTTAGTGTTTGTTTAATTAAGAGTTAAAACCCTCTTAATTTCCGGATGATAATTCCATTTTTAACCTATTTGGAATGCTTAAACTATAGAAGTATTTTTCCTGTCAGTGATGTATGTTGTTTTATCTTCCCTGTTTAATTAAAAGGTTCTCTTTCCCCTTCCTTAAATCTTTGAAGGAAAGAAGTTTTTTTTTTTTGTTTTGTTTTTGTCAGAATAGTTCATGGTAAACTTTGCAATTACAGATGATAGTGAAAAAAAGCCCCAGCGACGCAATCGTAGCCGCAGGCGTCGTTTCAGGGGTCAGGCAGAAGATAGACAGCCAGGTAACTTGAGTGGACCTGTTGACACCACCAGGTCACAAGCATGAAAAAAATGTCATGTGTCTGCTTTTTAAATATATTATACTTACATGTACACATGTGTGCATATACATTCAAGATGTGCATTGCATAAATTGTTTACTCAACTAATAAGACTACTACTATTAAGAAAATGCATTCATTCTTCACACCGTAAATGTTTAGTAACCTGTCTAATTGAACTAATGTTGTGTCTCAGTTTTTTACATGGAAATACTGTTGAGAAGACCATTATCATGTCCACTTGGCAGATTCTTCACACTTGCGTTGGGGCCTGCCATCCCAGGGACTATGTTATAGATTGTGATTGAGGTTGATTGGCAAAACTGGGCAGCTTTTGCATGGTGCCTGCTTACTATATCTGGATTCAGCACCTCATTTTTGTGGGAATTGTAATACCCACAGTTAAAAAAAAAGTATAAATGAGAAAAATACTTGAAAGTGTCTTTTTCCTAATAAGAGGAATGCATGTTTATGTTTTTGTTTGTTTATTGTAGTGTGATGCCTTTTCCCTTACACCTACTAACTATTCAAAATAATAGTACTTACTTAGTTTTAGAATGTTAATTAATTTTAAGTAGTCATAATTTTTAGTAACTTTAAAGAAATTTGTTTGCTGTGTCTATATTATTTTGAACATAATTCCATTTCCTGTGTACAGAGAATCAATCACGTGTATATTCACAGTGAAAAAATTGTGTGCACCAGAAATAAACCCCTTTTAAACTAATCAATTTTGCATTCTTTTCCAAAGCAAGTTCTTTCATGTGTTTTCCCCAAATAAAGAATGTAAATTCCAGTATCTTTAGTATTTTGAGTTTAGTGGTTGTAGAGACATTTGGGAAACTGGTTTAAGGGTATTAGTTCCCATTCTTGAAAAAAAGTTCATGTTGTAAAGACAGTTGTAAATTGAAAAGGAATTAAATATTGTCAAAAATAGTAAGTTTCCAGAAAATGTTTGTTCTTGTTTTCCCTTCTTTCCCCCTCTTTAGTGTTAGAAATATATTTTAGATCAAGAGATCACATTTATTTAGTTTTTTGAAGCTGGCACAGCAGTGAATGCAGTTTCTGGCCATACTTTATACATAAAATATTTCAAGCTATCATTATGGGCTTAGCATAGGAGAGATTACAACATAACTTATTAACTGGATGGATGGTGGTTTATTACTAAGTCAGTGGACATAAAAGGAATAATGTAGTGGGGTTTGTTAAAGAATAGGCAGAGATTTCTGCATGGTATTAATTGAAATTTGAGTAATTTGGAGTTTTCAATAATTTGACAATGATTTGTGTTCCATACTGCATTTATTCCTGTTTTATTCTGTTCTTTGGAATTACTGCTTTTCCTCCGTAGAACCCCTTGCCTTCCTTGCCCCCCGCCCGCCCCCAGCAAAAACCAAAAAAATAAACCCAAGATAGGATAGGTTGAACAAGCACATCATTTTCTCCTTGACCCTGGCAGCAGTTCTAGAAAAGCAGCCTCCATCGAAAGTTAATATCAACATTCTCTTAAATACAGTCATTAAATTTGTTCTCATTTGCTCATAATTTCTTGTTGCCCTTAGTGTAAATTAAGCAGTGAATATTCTTTACTATACTTATAATGTGACAATACACTGGTGTCCAACTGAGTAGCTTGGACCCCTTAGAGGAAATTCTAGAGTCCAAATTATGTTGCACAAATTGCCTGTATTTTTTTTTTTTTTTTTTTAGATATTGTAAATATTAGTCTGTATTCAACTTTTAAGTGGCTTGTATTATAAGGACTGGCTGTAAACAGGTTTTTCTTTGAATCAACTGAGGTTTTTGGTTTTCTCTCTCTTTGGAGGGTGAGGGGCACTGGTAAGTTTTTACCTTTCCAGCTAAGTGCCTCTTAATTTAATTGATAATCTGTTTCAAAGTATGTTACTCTGTTTCTGCACATAGTGGATGAAGGGTTCTAAGAATTGTCACATATTCAAATTTAGCAGTATTTCTGTCTATGCAGCAGAGTTTCCAAGTAGCTGAGTCCTTCCAGGTGTCACTGAGGACTGAACTGTGGAAACAGAATGAATTCATTAAGGTGCTTCCTGAACTAGAATCATACCTATAATGGTCTTGCCACCATGTATGTAGACATAATAATGAATTGGATTTGGTAGTATTCTTCCTCTCCAATTTTGGAAACTATTATTAAAAGTATTTATAAATTCATTAACAGTGAATTGAAACGATTTAAAAAGCTCCAATATGAGCACCCTGAGTTTCCTGTAATTTGAAAGAGGCAGTTTTTAGACGTGAAACATCTTTAATTAGTGATGTTTCTAATAAATGATATGTATTAGTTCTGAATTAAGTTGTTTCCTCGAGATTTGAAAAGATTTAGTATTTCTAGAAAGTTCTTGAATCTTATAAAAGTGTTAGCATGTTAATTCATGATTAAGAAAAATGAATTGTAAATACTATCTAGCTTCTTATATCAAAATGATTTATTTCATATAATTTGAACCTGATGGACCAATTCTCCCCATACATAGTGACTTTAAATAATTTAAAGATTACTTGAGTTTCCATTCTTTACATAATTAACTTGCTCCCATAATTTAAAATTCACTGTGTTTCACATAATTCAGGGATTTTTCTTTACCAGTTTGATAGAAAATAAGTCTTTAAAAGGAAGAAGGCGATTATTTTGATATTTCTTCAAATCACTGAATTCTAAGTTGCAAGTCCTTGAAGAGAAAGGATTGAGGTATCAAGTGAAGCTAGTCCAGAGTACTTGTAGACCAGAGTTCATTTGTTGCACTTGGGTTGGCAGTAGGGTGTTAGGTTGGGTAAGTCTTTTACCTGTATCACTACTGGCGTCCACACGCTTCCTTGCAAACACACACAGACAGACTTGCACACACTCACATACTCTCTCTTCAATCAGTCCCTTGAGAGACTGGCAAAGTGGGGAGGGGGTGGTTACTGAATTTGTAGTGGCCCCTTTTCCACCATGATCAATGTCCACATTTTTACAGTGGTAGTCTGTCATCTTTAGTTTGCTTGTAGTTTTTTTTTTTTTTTTTTTTTTTTTTTTTCCGATCACTCAGAATGTTTCTATAGAAGTATGAAATGTTAAAAAGGAACCATAAAATACCACACTTGGATAAATTATTTAATTGTGCTTTTTAAAAACAAAAACAAAAAACAATATTTGAGTAAATCTTTTACATCTTGGATGAAAATTTCAAATTGATGTATATACCAAATTGACATATATACCACACCATGATTTGCACCAAATTTGCCCCATTTTTTTCCACTGATAATTGCAAACACTGTCTGGGCTTAGAAAGCTGTGTTTCCTATTCTTGGTTGTGGATTTTTATATTAAACTTATCCCACAACCATAGACTCAACCAGAAGGAAATGGCTGGATTCTTGTGAAAGAGGACTTTAATCTAGGCTTCCTCGATCTCCAGCTTGAAATTTTCTGTTGTCAGCACTCAATCACAGGCAGATTTTTCAAGCTTTGTTTTTGGTTGGAGGTGGTACCCAGCTTAAGAAAATTTTGAAATTGGGTAACCCACCATTAGTTTATTTTAAAAGTAAAATTACTCTTTATCCATAAATAAACTTTAGAAATATTTTTTCAACACCTGTAATTTTTTTCTCATCTTCAACAGTCACAGTTGCAGATTATATTTCTAGAGCTGAGTCTCAGAGCAGACAAAGAAACCTCCCAAGGGAAACTTTGGCTAAAAACAAGAAAGAAATGGTAAGGAGAACTTAACCTGTAGGTTTTGTTTTGTTTTTTTTTGGTATGGTTTAGCTTTATTTTTATTTCTTAACTTACTGTATGATCAATTGTTTCCCAAACTAGATGAATAATATTGTAAAGACTATTCTTGATTTTGTTCTTGGCCCCAAGTAACTGAAGATATGCATGCTTGAGCCTGAAATAGTTTTCATTTAGAACTCTGAACAGTATTTGTAAAATTCATTCTGCCCAAAGATAGTGGGTATAGAGACTGTTGCTTAATTTGGGGAGCAATAGGCTATAATATACCTCTTCTCAATGATGGATATAGACGTATAAGTTTCAATTATTTAAATGCTTTAAGGGATATGATATGTAAATAAGTTTCAAAAAAGAAGGTGAGTAAAGTAGTTGATTATTTGCCTTACTTTAGGGACTTCACTGTTTATATCTTTTACATGGTGAGCTTTCCAGTGGTTAAAATAAAATTAGGTACAAGTTTTCAGTAAACAAATACAGATTCTTCCTGTGGTTTAGGCACTGCTAGGTACTAGAGATAGAGTTGAAAGACCCAGAGAGGTGGAGTATATTGATATTTGTTTTGTGTTTTAAGAACATTTTAATTCTTTGATCCATTGTTGGTATATGAAACTAAAATTATTAGCCGATTAATTTTTATGTAGCTATTTTCCTCCTCAGCTATAGATTTCATTTATAAAGAAGTTGAAAAAGTTGTCTCCCTTTGGCAGGCAAAAGATGTGATTGAAGAGCATGGTCCTTCAGAAAAGGCAATAAATGGCCCAACTAGTGCTTCTGGCGATGAAATTTCTAAGCTACAGCGTACTCCAGGAGAAGAAAAGATTAATACCTTAAAAGAAGAAAACACTCAAGAAGCAGCAGTCCTGAATGGTGTTTCATAAACTGAAGAAGTTCCTAGTTTACAGTTCTTTTACATTACATTTTACAATAGTGCTTGTACAAGCTTGCCAAAGATAGAATATGGATCGCCAGTCTTTACATCGCACTTTCAGTTCCTCCATTTGGAATTCAGAAAGGGGAGGGATCCTGAAGAAATCATATGTTAAACATACTTTGACACCTACTGTGTTATAAAATATATCATCAGATGTGCCTTGAGAATAGTATATGTAACATTAAAAAAAGTTGCTGGCTATAGGAAATGTTATTTTGTTTTCAAAATATGGCAGAGATGGGGGGAGGTGGGAGGGGTGGGATCCCTAACGTAATATTCTTTATGAAAGCATTAGCTGCTTTTGTTACATTTTTAATAATATGCAACCACTTCTTCACCCGAGGAAAACTAGAATGAAATGCAGTCTAAAATATTTTGCACTGAATTGTAATTTCTTCATTAGTTTAGTCTGGAAACTGGTCTGTTTTAATGTGTTTTTTAAATGCTGTATGTAGAGGAAAATCTGCAGACCACTGGAATACATTTGTTAAACTCTCATCTGCAGGGACACTGGGTGATTTTGGCAGTGACTGTTCTACATTGAGGCTTTGTTTGGTTTATTTATTAAAGTGTACAGTATTTAAAAATCAAACATAGCTTTAGTTAAAACACTAAGCTGAATTAGACATGTCCATTCAGACATAACCTGAACTACTGAAAAGATCAATTTCCAGAAGGTTTATTCTGTATAAACTACATGTTAGTCTTCAGTAGAGTATCTTTTCCTTTTCTTTTTTTTTCTTTTTTTTTTTTTCTTTTTTTGATTTTGGTTGTTTGATGTGCAATATGTTTTTGTATGCAGGTAGTAAATAAACTTTGATCTTCCATTTGCTGATTTTTAACTTTCTACTTTTTATATCAAATGTTGCCAAGTAGTTGGAGCTACTTACAGGCCTAGAATAGTATCCTGATTGCTTTTTAAAAAGCATTTATACTTGCTCATAAATAGTATTAAAATATTAGTTGGTCAGTTAATCATTTTGTAATGACTCCTCTGAAATCTTAGCACTTAAAATTTAGTCTGTTAGAATGGCTTAGGGAATTGATCATATATTTGTTAACATAAAATTCTAATCAAAGGCAATGTTTGGAAGGCAATGGGGTAAAATCCAGAATTTTGCTTTTGCCTTTGATTTTATTAAAAATTATTTTTATAAAGAAGTATGATGAGCAATTTTTAAATAAGGAATAGGCCACTAATTTGCTTTTTGATTCTCAAGGAAACAATTTTAAAGGTTCTCACACTAAGGATTGTATTTTTTGTATGTATTTTTTGTATCTGTTTTAGCCAGACAGCTTAGCTTTAAGAGGAACGTGATACAATAATTTATGCAGCTAATTGTGAGGTCATAATAAATAACCGTGGATTTATGGGAGGGTTTTGCTCTACAATATTATGTAAACCACTGAGCAAGCAAGACAGCCCTTTCTGTCACATGGCATCTAAAAACTGTTTTTATGTGCATAATTTGTGTTGATTTCTTATGTGTGTAAAGATGTTAAGTGATTTTAGTTAATTTATAATGACTAAAGGAGAATTCAGGCTATAGTTAAACAAGTAATAATTGCCAGGTCAGTGTACATAAAACCCTATCCCTCAAATTCATTACTGTTGAGGTTAAGTATTAAATACTTTTTCCTAAAACCTTGATAAATGAGCATTTTTAAGTAAGGTGTGGTGCGAATAGTGTAATGCTTCCACTTGAATAACAATATCAAGTAATTTCATATCCTGAGTTTTAAAAAAAGTTACCCACAGATGTCTTTTTTATCCATCAAAGTTAGAAACAAGTAAAATTGTTGGCCTTGTTATTCTTAGTTCTCTTCAATAATAGGGTTACAGATTAACTATAAGGTATTAGAAGAATTTTCATTAATCCCCAAATTGGTAAATATGGTATTTCTTCCACGTAAAATAGATTGACTAAAATCCTTCTTCCCTAAACATAGTTGCAACGGGAAAGGAAGAAACACAAAACCATCTTAAACAGTTGGTATAGTCCAAGCAGTTCTTTACAGTCGAACTAATAACCATATTCTTGGAAATAAGTATTAAGATTTCATTATTTACAAATGACTAAACCTAGTGTCTTGTCCTTAAAATATATGTACTGCAGAATCATGATACTTTTTTTGATAAACAGCCCATGTTCAGATTCAGAAGTGAAAAGCCTACTCCTCAAGGTAATCATTGTTGATTCAGGGAGCTTTCCAGACTTAGAGAGGGGTGCATCTTTTTTGGCTACTATACTAGTTAGATGAGCTGTTGCTGTGGGAGAACTTGCCAGTACACACTAAACAAAGACCCAAACACTGAAGCAAAAAAAAATCTAAAGGTCTTGGGCGGCTCAAATACTGTTTCAGCATACATATATGGAATCTGAACTAAATCATGAAGTAGGATGTGAGATTGTGTGGGGGCAAAAATTATCTGCTTTTCCTGCAACTCTGGGAAGGCTAGGATTCTTGGATTTGGCATCACCTTTGTTAAGCTTCAGTGGGCCTAAAACTTGCAAAATGGCATGGATCTCTGTTGACAGGTCAGTCACCACTGGTAAAATACACAGAAATCTTAATAGTGGTTATGTATTTTAATGTGGAGTTAAGAAAAGCAGCACATCAAACTGGTGAGTTCATGAAAACTTATCTGAGACATTGCTTAGGACAAGGTTGAGGGAGGCTGCTTACATATACGTAATTTTTTAAAAAGAAAGGACAGGTATATGTAGGCAAGCAAAATAACTGACGAACAGGGAAAAACTAAGCTAGTGAGAAGGAGGCAAAAGCAGCTGGTATTTTACTCTTGTATTGTGGATCTCCATTCACGTCAGCCATTCTTTTGTGGCTGGGATCCCATCACCTTTATGCTAAGTCAGAGGTACTTTTGTAGCTATTGTTTGCTATGAGTCTAGTGTTGAACATGAGAAGGGTCTCTGCAAAGTTGGCATGTTAACTGAATGTTGCAGTTAGATTGGGAAACAGTACCATTTGTGTTCTCTGCAAACAGATTTACACTTTTTTGAGGTTGAAACCAACTAGTTAGTCTTCTCCTAGGCTGTGTCTATAATGAGCTTAGTCTGCTAAGGAGAAAAGAATGGAAAACTGGCTATAATGCAGTAAGTCTTATGTCAGATGATTGGTGGTTATTGGAAATGAGAGTAAAGGAAAACTATTTTTACACTTGGATTTTCTAGAAGGCTTCTAGGAGCTTGGATTGAAACTGGGTCTGTGGCTTTGGCAAAATTCCAAAAGGCAAAAAGTAAGGTATTTGTTGTCAAGTCTCATTCAGTCTTCCTTTCTTTGCTCTTATGGTTTGGATTCCCCTATACCCTTTCATAAGGATATCTGGTATAGTGAATTTAACTCCTTATTTAAAAATTTTAGTTGTCTATTATGATGTGTTCTTGAATGGATAGTAGTCATTTATAACACGATTAACCTGTGATAGCATTTGGGTTTTATTTCAGGCACTGCTGCAATAATTGCAGTCTGCTGTAGTTAAACGTTTGGCAAGGGGCAATAATTCGAAACTGCACTCAACTGCTGGTTGAAAATAATTATGTTGAACCATAAGAAATTGCAAATAGTTGACCATTTCTGACCCACAAAAGTGGCAAATTTCCTATGGTTCAACCTAATGATACATTTTTAAGTATAATCATTTGCTCTAGAAATCCAAGCAAGAATTGAATCATCGAGAAAACCCCTAATTATTGGATGAGGGAGGTACATGTAGTCTATAAGGCAATACCAATTCTGTTTCTTGGGTTTTTTTGCTGAGGAAGATTGGCCTTAAGCTAACATCTGTTGTCAATCTTCCTCTTTCTGCTTGAGGAAGATGGGCCCTGAGCTAACATCTGTGCCAGTCTTCCTCTATTTTGTATGTGGGTTGCTGCCACAGTATGGCTTGATGAGTGGGTGTAGGTCCGCGCCTGGAATCCAAACCCATGAACCCGGGCTGCTGAAGTGCAGCGTGCTGAACTTATTAACCACTATGCCACCAGGCTGGCCCCCCAATTTTGTTTTTAAAAAGGGTGCAATCAGTGGATCACTTGAGATTCAGATTCATCTGCATCTTCTATACACTATTTCAAGTACTGAAATAAGGTGCACAAAAATTCCCTGGATAAATTATAATGCAGCTTTGTAAGAGGATTTCTATCAGTCCATTTGTTTTCCTATTTCTTCCTTTGATAATTTGAAAAGATGTTGTAGGTCTAAGTACAGAATTGGGAGTTAATATCTTCTAACTTTTTCTGTATTCCATTCCCTCCAACTAGAGAGGGCTGGACTAGTTGATCTCTTAAGGGCCCTTCCAATATTAATATAACTTGAGTCTAGTCATATGTGGGACCCTGGGTAACACTTAACCACATGCCTAAGTATTCTCAACAAGGGGTGTGCTGAATTAGAATGTTTGTTTTATATATGTATCCATCCTAGACATTTCCAACCATGCTGTATGCAGTCTGAAGATATCAAAAGCAAGGGCAAAATTATTTTTCACTGACATTCTCAGTCTTAAAGCCCTACTATTAAGTATACTAGTTAACAGCTTCTCAAAATTTCTTTGTGTTTCAGTGACTGGTATTTTTGGGGGGATGTAAAATTACAGGGATATTTTTTGAATGTTTTGTACCCTTTTTACTTGATGGATTAATTGTCAGATGTAGCTACTCATTTTCTAGTTTAGAGACTATTTTCATTTATAAAAATTTTCCCATAGTTTTTCTAGGTGAACCAGTTTATACTTAATTGTTCCTTGGAGCTTTATACACCTCAACCTCTTTGAGCTTCATTTTTCAACTTGCTGTTTTCAGGTTGTAAAGAAAAATGTCATGTAAACATTACATTTGAAATTCCATTAACTGAAAGAGCCCTAAGGTAACAGTAAGTGTTAACGGGTTCCAGATTATACCATAACACTGGACTATGACCTCATCATTGGGTCAGGAATAATAGGTAGCACTGGATAAAAGCTCTTCCTATATCCTGTTGCTAAGGCAACAGTTGGCTCTAAGCAGATAAACAGCACTCTGAACAACAGTGCCAACAGAGTAGAGCTTGGGTCATTTAAGTTTCCTGGTACTCAAGGTTCAGGATTCTTTATACAACCAAAAACCTACTCGAGCCTAACCATTCTAAATAGTGTTTTTTACTTTATTTCAAATTTATATATACTTTTTCTATAATATTCTGTTCTGGAAGTTTTTGAGCCAATTTCTAAATTTTCATTGGAATTAACGTGGTTTGGGGGATCATTATGCTCAATAAAATGTGACCCCACTGTACACTTCTGAATTGCAAAACAACTTTTATAGGTCTTTATCAACATAAAGATGCCTTATAAATTGTCATTGAAACAGAACTCAGTATTCTAGCCTGAAGTGTTGAAACTTAAAACTTGATTAATTCTTTAAATGAAGCATTCTGCCTGAATTTTTTTTTTTTTTTGCTGAGGAAGACTGGCCCTGAGCTAACATCTATTGCCAATCCTCCTCCTTTTTTTCCCCCAAGCCCCAGTAGATAGTTGTATGTCATAGTTGCACATCCTTATAGTTGCTGTATGTGGGACGCCGCCTCAGCATGGCTGGACAAGTGGTGCGTCGGTGTGCGCCTCGGATCCAAACCCGGGCCGCCAGTAGTGGAGCGTGCGCACTTAACCGCTAAGCTATGGGGCCAGCCCCTGAGTGAATTTTTTAAAAAAATACTTCTGATGCAAGGTTTTCTTTAAGGTATGGCATAAATTTTCAATATGCTGTATACAATACAGCTTTTTAGTGTGGCATAGTTCACATGTTTAGAGTTTTACCCTTGTGTTAAGATGCTAGTTACCTAATTTTTTCCATTTCTTTTTGCTTCTAGCTGCCTTCTACCCTTCTTGCTTCTGTTTGTTGTAATTTAGAGTAGAGCAAATTAAGGATAGCAGAGAAAACCATATAACCAAGCTTCGAGAATCAGAATACATAGGTATGGACTTGTATTCCATCTATCTTCACACAAGTTCTCACTGCTTTCTTGAGTGATTTGGGTCTGCTGGATTGATCTGTGTAACTAGACTATTTTTCTTGTTTAAATGCTTCCATAGGTATTCCCATCATTTGGAAAATACTTGAAAGCAAGAGAATTTGCTTAAAATGCTTAAGGGAGCGAAAAGATTTAATTTCCAGGACCATTCATTATAGCCCACTTTCATCCCCAGCAAAGCAGTTTTTGTAAAGCAGCTTAAGACTCGTAATAAATCAGAGGCCCAGTGAAGGCAAAAGGGAAGGGGCTAAGTAGGGAAACTAAACGTCTGGTATGCCAGATCTAATATTAAGACTGTGGATAAGAATTCTCCCAAAACCTATCTATTGAGGACTAATATAGAGAACTAAATTACAAATGAACATAGTAAATTGGAGAAGACACCCAGGGGTTAATTACTGTTTCACTAGCTGTGTAACCTCAGAAACCATTTGCTCTGGATTTTTGTTCCCTATCCATAAAACGTGGAGGAATCCTCACAGTTTTCAAGTTGGCACAGATGAGGAAGCAGAACCCTAAGCACGCAGATGGCTTGCTCAAAGTTGTCTGGCTGTTATTGCAGAAGTTTGCCTTGAAATCTGCACCTCCTATTCCCTAGTGTTGTGTTCAACCACACCTTCCTCCTCTGAGGACTGATAAAAAGGCCCCAAGCTAGATGTGTAATGACAAGTCCTAAACTCACATCTCATCCACCAAGGAAAACATCCCTGGGTTATCAGATTTGTGAAAGGTACCACAGTGCAGAGATCAACAGCACATAACTTTGGGTTCAAGATCAGCCTTCTCACCCAGCATGTTGCTTTGGGCAAGTTACTTAACCTCACTAACCTTGAGTTTCCTTCCCTGTGAAACATACTTAACAATAGTAACTATTACTGAGATACAAGGAAAGTGCTTAGCACAATGCTAGCACATTGTAAGTGGTCAATACATGTTAACATTACACATCCAGTATTTTGTAAGAAAATACCATTAAAAGATGAAGGCTCTTTTACAGATCATACGTGCATCAGTTATCCACTATGACCTAGAACCCTCACATAGATGACTTTTTGCCCTAAGAAAAATGGTAGGTTTGCCTAGCAGCCTTCAATGAAATGTGGATTCTTCTACTTGAAAGAGGTAAGCCTGGAAATAAAGCTGATTACTATGAAAGAAAAATGTGCTCTGCTGTGCTCTTTAGTATTATTTTCAAGTGTTTTGATACTTGTCTTAAAACAGGTATGCTATTGGCATTAAACACTGAAAAGTATTTATACTTACTACATGAAGTTTTCCTTTGTAGACTTAATGTTTGATTGCCTCTGGGCATATTATCACACTTTCTATTTGTCTTTGAAAAATTTTGTTTTTAAGTTTTAGTTTATACTGTCTCTTCTCAATTAAAGCTCTTGTGCATATAAACATTTTTTTGATTAGTACAAAGGACTGAAATAAAAGGTCAGTAAGCCAAAATACAGTTGACCCTCATTATTAGCATATTCCTCATTTGCAAATTCTCCTACTCACTAAAATTTATTTGTAAGCCCCAAATCAACACTCAAAGTGCTCTTGTGATCATTTGTGGACATGCAGAGTGGTAAAAAATCTGAATCACCTGATGCCCAGAAAGTGATGCTCTGCCTTGTTTAAATTTTCATACTGTAAACAAGTATCCATTCCATGGTCCATTTAGTGCCAACTTTTTCACATTTTTGTGCTTTTTTTTCATGATTTCCCTGTTAAAGGTGGCCCCCAAACTTAGTGAAGTGATGCCTAATGTTCCTAAACACAAGAAGGCTGTGATGTGCTGGCATGAGTTATAGTGTTGGCTGTGAGTTCAGTGTTAATGAATCAACAATAGATATTAAATAAGCTGTCTTGAAACAGAAACACATAAAAGAAGGTTATATACTGATGGACAAAAATGTGACCAAAGGCTCACAGGAACCTGTATTTCCCCTAGGAACAGTGGTTCAGTATTCACTAATTCAGTGTTCTCTGTGACTTCATAGAACATGACTGCTTCGAATAACAAGAATCAACCATACTTTCATACCCCCTTGCTCCTGGAAATAATTAAAAGCTTTTATCCTATACAAAAGCCATGGCTGCCTTAAGCTGATGCTGCTTCATACAAATGGACTTGATCAGATTTTAAACAAGGAAACAAAATGGAAAATAAGCCAAAAGAGCAAATATATCCCAACTTTGAAATGCCCCTAAACACATTCAGACACTAAATATGATTACCTCCACTATTTTGACCTGGAAAGTCTGTGTTCTCCAGTAATAATTAAGAACTTTAGGGTGATTTTAGAAGGTAGGTAGTGTAATTTATCATCTTAGAGCTCAAAATAATACATATTCCTATTGGTGACCACAAACTAGCTATTTTACCTCATGTTTTATACAGGTCTTCTGGTTAAGATCCTTATGTATTTTATGTTAGGCTAATAGTAAGCCATCTGCCCTCAAAAGATCATTTAAATATATCAGTGTATAAACTCTCAAAAAGAGTCCAAGCTGAATATTTTGGTAACGGCATTTCAGTTTTCAGTTTTGCTGTGTTTAAGCTTGGTCATAACAAATGCAAAACTTCTATGTAAAAAAATAACCAATTAAAATAATTTATGAATGCTCAGTTTCTTTAAGGGGCTAGCTGAATACAATGTAAATTCTTTCTTGATGAAAAACAAGACCTGTACCCTCAAATCTTTTATCATACTGTTACAGTTTTTAATGTATGAAATCTGAATTCTGTCAGGGATATATACATACCTAGACCAATTTCTTAGGTCAAAGTGCTGGCTAAATTCACTTAAATTCCAACAGCTGGGCCAGTTTTGTACCTAAACAGCCTTTCCTCCCAATGAGATGAGTCCGTACTGTAACAGCCTATGCTAATTCTATCATAATATTTATCACATATTGTACGTGAATTACCAGTTTATCAGTCTCCCATGAGATTGGGGGCTCCTTGAGAGCAGAGACTGTCCTGTTCACTTTGCATTGAAGTAGGTACCAAATTATTTGCTAAATGAGCAATGAACAATATTTCTACTCATGGTATTTACCCATAATTACTGAGTATTAATCTCTCATACCAAGGCTTTGATTTAGCTTATGGTGAATCATTTTTAAAAGTTGTAGCTTTGAGGCATTTTATTATAAAAAGCTGGTACTCATATACATAAACTAACAAGAACTTAAAATTCATCATAAATTTACTTCATTTTTTAGCTTGACCTTCCAGTAAATCTTTAGCTTCATTGATTTTGGCTGCTATGTAAGGAGATCCTCCTAAAGGAAGAAAGAAAAAAGGAGTAGTTATAATATGGATTCTCAATTTCTGCTTGGTTGAAAAACTTCTCTATCTGAGAAGTGGAATTAGCAGAAATGATATTTTGATTTTTAAAAATAATAACTTTGACATTGCAACTGGATCACCAAATATATGGTAATATATTTGACCAAGGGGAAATGAAGAAAGCCACATAAGGGAGATTTCCACAAAAATGGCACCTTCTAAAAAACCTTAAGCTGATAGGAATAGGATTAAAAAAAAACCCCATATACTTACGTGACTGAAATAGTGTAAGACACCTATTCATAATGATTACAGATCATGAATGAACATATTTATTGTACTGTGTTATTTTAAAACCCTGATTTTTTTTTTTTTTTCTGTGAGGAAGATCAGCCCTGAGCTAACATCCGTGCTAATCCTCCACTTTTTGCTGAGGAAGACTGGCGATGAGCTAACATCTATTGCCAATCCTCCTCCTTTTTTTTTCCCTTTTTCTCCACCCCAAAGCCCCAGGAGATAGTTGTATGTCATAGCTGCAGATCTTTCTAGTTGCTGTATGTGGGATGCGGCCTCAGCATGGCCAGAGAATAGGTGCGTGGGTGCGCGCCCGGGATCCAAACCTGGGCCGCCAGTAGCGGAGCGTGCGCACTTAACTGCTAGGCAATGGGGCCGGCCCTAAAACCCTGATATTCTCAAAGGCTTCTAAGCTTTGTTGGAAAGACCCCATTTTGGTTTAGATTCTTTTTCTGTCCTTCATAGTTTTTCTCTTTTCCTGTCATTAATTGTCCCTTCACGATGATATCTACAGCTCCTTTTCTACTAATCTGCTGAATTAGTGCTTCTCGAAGTGTGGTATTCAGACCACCAAACATCAGCATCAATAAGAAGCTTGGTAGAAATTCAGCTTTATGGGCTCCACCCTAGAGCTGCTGAATCAGAAGCCCTCCAGTTAATACAAGCTAAATTTCGTAAAAGAGGCTATGCAGAGATACCAAACAATTACAACTCCGTTTAAACTCAAAACCCTCTTTCTTAATCAAAGGCCTCTCCTATGAAAGTAAAAGGATTTGAGCACTGGAACATGGATTTTGTGCTCTATATTTTGGTATCCAAGGAATTATTTGCTTTCTTTCAACACAGCCAAGGCTGCTTAGAAGTGTTTAAGAAACTAAAAAGTACATCTTATAGGTTTCTAACTAGGTAACCTCTAGTTCAAAGGTCTAAATGAATAGGAAAAAGTTACATTTTTAGTTTCATTAACTGAAATTAAACATTTCCTTTAATTAAGAATGTAGACCAACCCCCACCCCCAAACAGTGGTATTAGCAATATTTATAACTTGCGATTAGAAGTCATGTTTTATCACAACTGCACATCTCAAAACATTGTCAATGCTTATCACCACTTCCAAATTATAGTAGTAATTAGGTCTGCTCATTATTCTATAAATACATTTTTCACTCATGATTTATTCTTTTAAGACACCAAAAACAACAAATGGATCCAGCCTGGGAGACAGTGATCACACACAGATTTAGGCATTTCCCTTATAATAGTCAAGTTAGATAAAAAATTATTCCATTAATAATAGTCACTCCAACAACATATAAAAAGAGTTTAATGGCTACTTACCCTTGTCTGGGTGATTTAAAAGCATAATTCGTCGATGAGCATCTCTTATTTTTCCTTTATTGGCAGTAGGGCTAATTTAAAAAGGAAAAGGTATTTACTTCAGTCAAAAGGTATTGTTGACTACTACTGGATCACATTAAAAAATTGTACATGAAAGCCAATTAAAAATATTGTGAACTGGAGTAAGTGATCACAACAATATGAAAAGCTGTTTAGGAACCTCTTCCCTAACACACAAGGAAGATGAATATTTTGAATCAGGGAACTAAACAGCTCCTTAGAAAAATAAGGCATTCTCAAACAAAAACCTAGTTGAACTTGATAATATTCATTACAACGTTACTTTTATTAAAAAGGAAAGCACGTTTAAGTATTTGGAAATGAAGGCAGAAATTCACCACAAAAGGTATTAGCTATCGAAAACAACATTGGGCACTGTGATTATCTGTTGGAAAAGTCTATCTTTCAATGAATTAAAAAGTGCTTATTTGCCAGTGTGCCTGCTCATTGCACTTTTAAAGGAAGTGTTTAGATCTTAAAAATGTACATAATACAAGAACTCGCTCCTAACAAGAGAAGGGCTTTATTACATTTGCTCATAGCTCTAGAATTGTAGAAAAATATTAAAAATATTAGAAATTATTTTACCTTACACCCAGTATTAATGCTGCTTCCCGTTTTGTCATTTTGGGTTCAAACCCACCTCTGTAATAGCCACCACTGAAGGCCTAAAAGAGGAAATGCATTTCTAAGAAAAGATTATTAGAATAAACTGAAAGTTGCAAAAAAAAAAAAAAAAATAATGCCTGTAAATTGTTCATAGAACCAGCAGAAAAACTGAGACATTTCAGAGAACTTAGAGCAATTCCTATGGTATTTTAGCTCTATAAGTAGCAACAAATATTTTGATAATCATTAAACAGATACATTTTTTTCTCCAGACAACCTAAACTGTCCTGAAAATATAAGACAAGAACAGCGCCTCAAAGCCAGTTCCTCTGGGAGTGAAGGGAAGATTATTCCAAGTTAGCCATGTTCTAGATAAAAATTTTATCTCAGAATATGACTATATGTTTCAGAACAAGAAGTGCCTCAAGAAGCGGATTTAGAGCTCTTTTGAGACAAGTGGTTTAAGGGTATTTTGAGGTTCAAGGTAACTACTAAAACAAGACTTTAAGATATATATCAAGGGCTGGCCCCGTGGCTTAGCAGTTAAGTGCACGCACTGCGCTGCTGGTGGCCCGGGTTCGGATCCCAGGCGTGCACCGACTCACAGCTTCGGCTATGCAGAGGCCGCGTCCCATATACAGCAACTAGAAGGATGTGCAGCTATCACATACAACTATCTACTGGGGCTTTGGGGGAAAAATAAATAAATAAAATTATTAAAAAAAAAAAAGATATATATCAAGAAAATCAGGCTATCAGGTCCTCTAACCTTGTTATGTCAGAAATCATATTGGTAAAGCTTACCATCACTCTATTCTGTCACAATCAATCACAACAATAAAGATAAATACTCAACAGGCTGTCACAGCCAAATTCATTCTGAACTGTGAGCCCAAAGGATAGGATCACCTCCAGTCATACTCTATAGCCTAATTAACTGCAGTGCTACCCAAGTATCATGTTAGGGAGTGCCAGGGCCACACAGTAAGAATGGATAGATCCCTAGATCCCTAGATCCCTCTGTGCTTGTGATGCAGAGCAGATGAGAGGGGGCAAGCATGTGGACAGATGATGCCAAAGTTAACAGTATGTGAACAATAAGAAGATATTAACTTTCATGACACTAGAATTGTTAACACCTCTGCCCCAATTCTGGTACACATAACCTTTAATTTTTTAGAGTAGCACCATTACAATGCTCAGAACTTCTAAACCTTCCTTGTGGGAAGCAAGAGAAGGGGGCCAAAGCAATCACTAAGAACTTCATGTTTGGAAATTTACCCTCCTCGAGTCTTCCTACACAGGCAGCAAAAAATTAGCAAAAATGTTTAATAGATCTTACAGATTTTGGCAGACTTTGAAAAGCTTGTTTTACTTGAGGCTCCATATGCTTCATAGCTTGCAAAACATAACGGCCTAAAAACAAAAGCAATAGAGTAATTAAAAAGTCCCCAAACTCCCCTACTTCACTTCCAACCCCAAACCATAAACAAACCTGCAAATCCTGCAGCAGCAATGGTCAGTCCAACTGCTACCACTGTAGTGGCCTGGAAAGGGGAAGCAGAGTAAATATTTACTTCTCTAACTCCCACCCTTCCCTATCATACCCATTCTCTCATCCCAACTCATTACAAATTTCATTTCAACGGGAGAAACAAGTTTTAGGGTGAAAATATTCTGCCGAACGATCCTTTAAAACTACCGCAACTTTTATATCTGATGCCCTACAAAGGTATGGGATTTTCACTGCAGAAGAAAAGGGCAAGTTGCTTTGCTGCTTTACTTTTACAACAGTGAAAAAGACGACTTCCTTCTTTTGAAATCCTCTCTTTCACCTCCGGGCAAATGAAGTCACACTCAAGTTCAATTAAGAGCAACAGAAATAAAGTTTCTGCTAGGGAAGGAAGAACTGTTTACAGAGGATTCCCGTAAAATTCTGATAATGCATTTTCAACATTAGACGTGGACTTAACTAGGACACTAGCTTTTCAGAGCGGCTTCGGCACTGTCCCGCCTCACGATTACAGAACAGGAGAGAAGTTCAAATATTTAGGAATCGAGGAGAAGAGATGTGTCAGCAAGAACCAAGGAGAAGGACAGAGCAAAGTAGAGAAAGTACTGACAATGTATTAGGGGGAAGGGCAGGTATAGTTAAATGCGTTTCCACTAATCTTCGAGCCCCGGCGACGGCGGACCAGAGGCTGGAGCCCTCTGCAGAAAGGCGCTGTAAGAACACAAAGGCCCGAGAGGAGAGAGCCAACAGCTCTGTGTCCTGGAGAGTGTGACTCTCCGGGGGCCCCAGGCCAGCGTCGCACTAAGCAGACCACCTCGGCTCCTCTCCTCCGAGGCGGTGGGCCGAGTTTGGAGCCTGGGCCCAAGATCGCCCAGGAGACCGGGAAGCCGCACTCACCATGGCTCCGGCTCGACTCCCCTGCCTCCGCCGGGAGCGGGGTTCATCCCACCCCGGAGGCTGCAGCCGACAACTCCACGCCTCCACCAGACAGCACCTCGGCCACCACCAGCAGGCACTCTCCGCCCGGACAGGGGCGCCCTAGCAAATACGGCAGTGGCGGCCGCAAACTAGGCCGGAAAACTGTCGTAAAAGGGGACCACAGACAGAGAAAGGTCGCCCAAGCAGTGGGTAGGTGGAGAACAAGACTTCGGATTGGTCGATGGGTGGGCGGATCGCCTCCTTAGTGGGCTCAAAGGTGGGGCTTCTGTGTGTTTTGCCCTTTGTTCCTGGGCCGAGGAAGTTGTTTGGAAATTCTTGCAGGGCGGGGTATTGGCATAGAAGGGCACGAGGAAATACTGCGTAGCCTTACTCAGAATGTTTTTTTTCCTACTTCTCAGCACCTCCGTTTGCTATTTGTTTTGTTTATATTTGTCAAAGGTAATGAATATCCTTAAACATGCTGTAAAAGTTCCACTATGAAGCCAAGTAAATATGCAGCAACCCAGTATAGCAAACGAGATGTCCCAGAAAACCAAATGAACAAACTGCATGGTGTTTCAGGGGTTGTTCGTTAGCATTGTTTTATTTAAAAGAATTTTTTAAAAAATATGTGACTTGACAGGACCTTGTGTGAATGTTTGGGGGTTTGATGTGTAGATTGAAATTAGTACTTCAAAGACAGTTAATTTTTTTTTTTTTTTTTGCTGAGGAAGATTTTCCCTAAGCTAACATCTGTTGCCAATCTTCCTCTTTTTTTTTTTTTTTTGCTTGAGGAAGAATAGCCCTGAGCTAACATCTGTACCAGTCTTCCTCTATTTTATATGTGGGTCACCACCACAGCATGGCTGATGAGTGGTGTATGTCCATGCCTGGGATCTGAACCTGTGAACCCAGGCCACTGAAGCAGAATGGGCCGAACTTAACCACTACCTTGGGGCTGGCCTGGACACTTAGTATTTTGATTATGGGATCTCAAAATCCCAACTACTGAAAAGTGCTATATAAAATGAAAAGTAGGGTTTGGTTTTGCCCTTATAGGGCATCAGTTTCATATATCCCTACATGAATGCTTGAGAAGAGAAAAATAATGGAAGTTTTACAATAAAATGTTTGGATGATCAAAATAAATTTGAAGTTACTTCCCATTTAGAACTTACAAAGTATTAGAAATCTGTTTACAGTGCAATGAAATTCTGCTTTGATGAGCTGATTGGTTATTAGACACATATGCAAATTTCTTGGCTTTGTTTTCCTCATCTATAAAAAGATTCTGTATTTGGATCTCCAAGAGCTCTTCTAGCCCTGAGATTTTTGTAATGTAGTTTATTTTCGACAGATGATCCAGATGTCTTAACACTAAGACACTAGTGTTAAATATACATCTTCCTCTTTTGCCTCTCTTTTATCTGACTTTCCCCCAACAACTACAAAAGAAACAATCAAGTGAGGTGTAAGGACTTGGGACCAAATTGGCCAGAAACAAACTAGATTGCTGCCTGAGAAAAGTTCTTATTATGCATATTTTTGCTATGTACAAATTATGGCATTCAGCTTGCTTGAGGAACAGATTATCATACAGAAGCCCAGCCTCAGGAGACCAGAGATGGTCAATGCAGGGAGACTCTTCAAGTTGAAGTGGAGATAGCCCTGTTTTTGGAGGCAAGTCAAACTAGACGTACAACCTGGCTCTGTCACTTACTAGTTGTGTGACTTCAGACAAGTTATTTCTGACTCCGAGTTCTCTCATTCGTAAAACAGGGTGATGATGACTGAACTGCCAAATTTTTGTGAGGATAGAGCTTATGTACATAGTGTACTCTGCACATAATTATTGCTCAATGTGTGGCTATTATTCTTATGAGGGAAGTCAGAGTGCAAATTGGCGTGCAGAGGCCTTCCCAATTCTCATGATAGCTCAATCATGGATGTAAGTTTGGTAATCCCTTCCCTACCCACTAAGGACATGGAAAGAACCTTTAAAAGTAATCTTTCTAAATGTCTGTCGCTTGATGAATGGGTAAATAATCATTCCTTGCTTCTTCTAGCTTCTGGTGACTGCTAGCATTCCTTGACTTGTGACTGCATCACTTCAATCTTTAACGAAGGTTGGTATCTTGAAATCTCTCTCTACTGTGTCTTCACAGTGCTTTTCTCTTTTGTGTTTAGAATCTTCTCTGCCTCACTCTTTTTTTTTTCTTGTGAGGAAGATCAGCCCTGAGCTAACATCCATGCTTATCCTCCTCTTTTTGCTGAGGAAGACCGGCTCTGAGCTAACATCTATTGCCAATCCTCCTCCTTTTTTTTTTCCCCCCAACGCCCCAGTAGATAGTTGTATGCCATAGCTGCACATCCTTCTCGTTGCTGTATGTGGGATGCGGCCTCAGCATGGCCAGAGAAGCGGTGCGTCGGTGCGCGCCCGGGATCTGAACCTGGGCCGCCAGTAGCGGAGCGTGCGCACTTAACCGCTAAGCCACGGGGCCGGCCTTCTGCCTCACTCTTAAACAATACATATAATTGCATTTAGGGCCCACCCCTATAATCCAGGATAATCTCCCCATATCAAGACACACAACTTAATCATAGATTCTTAACTTAATCATAGATCCTTAACTTAATCATAGATCCTTGACTGAATCATAGACGCAAAGACTTTGCCATATAAGGTAACAATAGCAGGTTCTAGGTTTTATGACGTGATATCTTTGGGTGCCACTGTTTAGTCTACTATAGAGAATAAGAGAAGACAAAAGAGAGGACTAGCAGGGACAAGAGAATGAGAAAGGACTCAAGCACATCTGCTCAATTTCTCCTCCCAAATTTGTCAATTGAGTAAGTCACTTCTTGGGGAAGAATAAGTGAGAGGTGAGAGGGAGCTAGAAGTGTTCTTGAATTGTGGCTTTCAAACACCTTTTGACCATGACTCTTAGTAAGAAATATATTTTACATTGTGACCAAGGGAACAAATACATAATTGAACACACACACATGCACGCACACATGCACACACAAATGCACATTGAATTTAATGTGTATTTAAACTGAATTTAATTGAAATTAATTTTTTGGAGACAGTACTTATCCTTACTTCATGCAATGCATGCTGGTCTTTTCTATTTCTTAAAAAAAAAAAAAATACTGAGAAACCCATTAAGTTTATAGCCGACTAACTGGTCATGATCTGAAGTTTGGAAAAACGTCACTCCATAAAAATCCACACTTGGAAATGTGATGCCAGGCAAATAAGAGTTGTTTTTTTCCCTAAAAGCTATGTGCCAGATGTCGTGCTAAATGCTTTATGTAGATTATTTCACTTCACTCCATGACAGTAATATTTATTTCTGTTTTGCAGGTGAGGATATTTTGCCTGACGTATTTGTTTTCTTCTCCAGATCCCTTCTCTACTGTTTTCCATTCTGCTTTGTGTCCCAGAGGAGCAGAGAAGGTTAGGAGGCTGACCTTAACGGACTGCATCAATGGGCTCTCTTGTATTCTGGCTTGGGGTTCAGTTATGTCCGAGATCAGAAGATCAGAAAGCAGGAGGAGAGTGAGTTCATGTCTTCATTTCTCCATCTTCCTTCCTGTTGGTTACCACAGGCTGGCTGAGTTTGTCCACTGAAGAATACAGTTCCTGTTGTGTGTGTGTTCAGGTAATTACTCCCACTCCTTTCTCCTTCAGGTCTAAGGGTAATAATGACACCGTTGTCCCCCACTGCCTTGCTAGACACAGTACACTTGACCATCATTTGCTAATTTCCCTTAATACTGTCCACACCTTTGTATACACTCCTTTTATTAAATTCTCAGTTATTCCATTTGAGTATGCCATCTGTTTCCAGAATGGATGGTGACTGTTATAAGAGGCTCCTGCAATAATTCAAGTAGGAGATGATGGTAAGCAGTGGAAGTGGAATCAAGTGGCTGGACTCCTGCTTATGTTTTGAAGGAAGAGCTGACAGAATTTGCTGATGGATGAGAAGTAGTGTGTGAAAGAAGGAAAGGATTTAGGAGTGACTCCAAAGCTGTAGGCTTGAGCAGCTGGAAGGATGGAGTTAATGGGACTGGAAAGACTGCAAGAAGAGCAGACTGGGAGTGGGAGCTTTTGTCATGTTAAGTTTGAAATATCAACTAGATATCTAAGGAATGTTTTCAAGTGGGCATTTGGATATACAAGTCTGGTGTCAAGAGAGAGTTCTGGGAGTCATCAGCCCATAGATGGTCTTTAAGGCCACGGAACAGGTGAAACCATCCATTGCATGAGTGGAGAGAGAAGAGGAATAAAGGCTGTGTTTTGGGATCTTCCATATTTGGAATTTGGGGAGATGAGGAAAAACCAGAAAATTAGACTGAAAAGGGGGACCAGAAACCAGGTGAGGGTGGTGTCCTGGAAGCCAAATGAAGAAACTGTTCAGTGGAGGAACTGTGTAAAATGCTGCTAATAGTCAAATAAAAGAACAACTGAGAATTGACTACTAGAGATCATTGGTGATGTTTATGAGAAGAGTTTCTGAGACATGATGGAGACAAAAGGCTGATTGGAGTGGATTCAAGAGAGAATGGGAGGAGAAAGAATGGAGATATGGATTATAAGACATCTCTTTCAGAGAATTTTGCTGAAAAGAGAATTAGAGAAATAGGGCATTACCCAGACAGAGAAGCAGTATAAGGAGAGTTTTTTGTTTTTGTTTTTTTTAAGATGGAAGAAATAAAAGCATGTTTATCTGCCATAAGAATGATCTTATAGAGGGGGAAATTTGAGAAAATTCGTGGAATTATATAATTTAAGAATGAGAAGAAAATATAGAGACCGTTTTTTCCCTAATAGCTTTGTTTTATTAATGAGGAAACTGGGCCTCAGAGGGATTGACTGACTTTTCTAAAGACCTGACTGAGTCCAGTAATCACTCATGCTTATTGTCCACTTTCCGGATGTATATAATGTTAGGGTCATAAGATGAGAGGGTCATCGAATTGTCTTTCCTTTTATTTCCTTACTACTCTTTTTAGGAATTATCTTAGACTTGGATTAAGGGAGTCTAAGTTCCTGACCAGCAGCCGTTTAGCCCAGGGAATCTTTTGTAGGCAACTGCTCACATAATGCTATATGTAAAACTAAATGGCACGCAATAAATATTTCCCTCCCTTCTCTTCTCCTTCATTCCACCCCTTTTTATTCTCTTCCAATGATCTCTTTTCCTCCAATGATCCTGCCATGACCTGGCAATCTATCATTGGGAATTCATCCTATTGTCTCCTGTTTGCATATGTATATTCTTGGTAAATGATCATACTGAGCTATGATCAACAGACTCCTCTATAAAGTGTTTTAAGAGATCCTTTTGGTGTTAAAACTAGTAAAAGGAATACTTTAATTGGGGTGCAGAAAGGAAAGAAGAAAGGAGAGATTTAGAGCAAGAGGGACTGAGGACAGGCCTGGGTAGGAATCATATGAGGACGTAGGCAGTGGGGAAGCGGACGAGATGCTGGGAAGCCAGAAGGGAAGGCCTGAGGCCCAGCCACTCTTTCTTCCAGTTGACCTCATCTGCTTCCAAGTCAGGTGACTCACCCTTCCCTGTAGCTATTGTAAGATACTTGATAACTATTTCTTCTGTGATTTTTTCTCCCCTTTCCTAAACTTGTTTCATTTTTTTCTCATTGCATCTGTTTTTCTCTGACTTCCTACTTTCCTTTCTGATTACAAGAACTGTTGTCCTTATTTTGTCTGGAGCATGTGAGCGGAGGGCCAGTCAGAGAATTGCAATATGTTTGACCAGAGTGACAGCACCCAGGAGGCATGTATTTCTAGATAAAGGCTTTGCTCTCTTCTCCGGCTGTGAGAAAGGAAAATTGAGGTACTCAGGATTTCAGGGGAAACTTGGAAGTTGGGGTAGCCTAGGTGCCTTTTCTAACCAACCCTCCATTTCATTCCATCTCAGCACATGTTTTCCATTGCCTTTCTCAGTCCTCTTTCCCCCTTCTCTAGCCAGGGTTCCACTTGAATGCAGCAGCTTTCTGCATTGAATACATCGAGCCCTTCCTGCTGAGCTGTCAGCAAATGGAACTGACCAACAGAACTGTGTGTGTAAGTGCATCCTGTGCCTGGGCCAGACAGACAAGCACAATTATTTGATTGCTGGAGATTGCCGCTAAATGAGGGTGAAATAGTGGGTCTGAGACTTGGTGAATATTATTAATAATATAGTGTCATGCATTAATAACATAGTGTCATGTGAAACAAAGTTACACTGGAAGATCTGTCTGAAGTCCCATTTTAAATCACATTTTCAGGGAGCTGGATGGTGGAGGAGATGAGAAGTAACACAGCAAGATGTCTTTAAGCACCATTTGGGAGTTTCAGTTTGACCCAGGCTGATGTTAAGAGAATACACATTGCTGGCATGAGTTATTTGGTGGCCAGAATGAAGCACGCGACTTGTCCTTGGCTAACTGTCATAAAAATTACATTACTATAGTGTTCTACTATGAAAAATCATCTTTATTCTCGTCATTAGATTCGTTGAAGGGAGGCCATTGCAAAAACTCTATGAAATTCTTTCTGGCAACTGTGTTGTCCTCAGTTACTGCGTAGTCAATTTCCTTAGCCCACCTACCATAGACGACCCTTCCAGACTCACCTCCACCTCTCCCTTCATAAACCTCATAGTCCTGCCAAATGGAATTTATCACCATTATTCTCCAGATGTGCCCTGAAGTCCACTGCCCCTGGGCTTTTACTCAAGTCATTCCCTCCATTCCGAGTGCCCTTCGCCCATCCCATCTCTGTCCATCAGTTAAAGGCCTAGATCAAATGTGCCTTCTGTGACACCACCTTTGTTCCTTCATCTGGAACAGGTGTCCACAAACTTTTTATGTAAAGGAACAGATAGTAAAATTTTAGCCTTTGCAGGCTGCATATAGTCTCTGTATTCTTTGTTTTATCAAAATGTAAAAACTATCCTTGGTTGATGGACCATTCAAAAATGGACCACAGGGTGAATTTGGCTCATGGGCCATAGTTAGCCAATCCATAGTCTAAAGTGATCTCTCCTTTCTCTGAACTCCTGTACAATTTTGTTTGTGTTACACGTGCCACTTACCACATCTAGCCTTGTATAGAAATTATTGGTATACAAGTATTTTCTCTATTGGATTGAAGATCCTTGAGAATAGAATTCATGTCTCATATACTTTATTTACTCCTTACAACATCTACTATAGAATCTGAACATAGAAAGTGATCGAAGGATATTTGTAAAATTAAGGAATAAATTACTTATAATATCTTCCAGCAAGAACAATTTATTTCCCAACTGTTCCAAGCCCTTGATTTTCTGACAGATAGGTCTTCCACCTCTACCCTGACCTTGGATGCCTTAAAAAGGCCATTCGCACCATAAATGCAACTGGTAATTAGAGATAGAATATTGTTTTCATTTATCAAATATTGTACTCATTGAGCACTTATTACATACAAAGCTATGAGAAACCATCACTGGACAAGATAGACAGAAGCCTCAGCTACTGTGATGCTTTGCAGTCTAGGCTGGGAAGCATGAGTTTAATGTGAGCTCTCCTCCTGAGATGTCTCAACTTCACTTTCCTATTTTTCAGATCATTGACTTAATAATATTTGCCACTTGGTTTACCAGGGTGCAAGGTGTAATAAAAGCTATAATAGTAGAATCTGCCATTTATTTTATACAATAATAGATTGTTATAGATATTGTTTTTAATATGTACAACCACATAAGGAGTTGAATGAAGCAATTAACTGCATTTAGTTATTTTGTTGTCAATCTGGATGAACTGGTGATCACAGCTGTCGCTTAACCAGATTACAGGAGATAAACCAGTTAACTAGAAGTGATATCTTGACCACAAGCTAAATTAAGCAACATCATTTAGAATAGGTACATAGTGGTTAATAATTGGTGGTGGTTTAAAGAAATAACTTAGCTAGTAAGTGAAGGAGTAGAAATTTGATTTGTCTGTTCGAATCCTAAGCCTAATCTTTCCAATGTAATCAAAATAATGTTGAATCATGTTGAGTTTCATTCTGAGCACAGATTTGCATTGAAATGAACAACAGTGAAGCGAAAAATAAAAATTAGAAACAAAAACAACTCGAGGTGGCCTGGTGGCGCGAGCGGTTAAGTGCACGCGTTCTGCTGTGGTGGCCCGGGGTTTGCCGGTTCGGATCCCGGGTGCGCACCAACGCACCGCTTGGCAAGCCACGCTGTGGTGTCGTCCCATATAAAGTGGAGGAAGATGGGCACGGATGTTAGCCCAGGGCCAGTCTTCCTCAGCAAAAAAAGAGGAGGATTGGCAGATGTTAGCTCAGGGCTGATCTTCCTCCCAAAAAAAAAAAAAAAGAAACAAAAACAACTACACATATAATTAATTGAAAGAAATTAAGATATTTTATGGCAATCTCTAAAGAAAATATCAAATGAGGGACTAAGTTCTTAATAGCCAGAAAAATTTCCTTAAAGTCCCCTTTTCTTATTGTGTCTTTCTTAGTGTCTACCTCATGCAAAATCCATTGCTAGACAAAACTCGTAACTCTCCCAATTCTCCCCCAATGCTGTTTGCTCAGCTCTTTTCCCTCTTGCCACCACTCCTCAATCTATTTTATTCCCTTCTTCTAGTTACTCTCTGCCCATTCTAGGTTTTCTCATTCCTTTATATTCTCCCCCTCCCTGCAGTACACACCGTGGTTGATCAGATTCTAAGATGGCCCCCAAGATTCCCAGCCACTAGTGTACACCCCCTGTATGATTCTGTCCCTTTGGGTGTGGGCTAGACCTGTGAATATGGTGCGATAATCGCCCCTTGATTAGATTACATAATATGGCAAAGGTACCATCATAACAGACTGGAGTGAGATTCTCCTGCTTGCTTTGAAGAAGTGAGCTGTCGTGTTTTAAAAGGCCTTGTGGGGGCCGACCCGTGGCGTAGCAGTTAAGTGAGTGCGCTCTGCTGCTGTCAGCCAGGGTTCGGATCCCGGCCGCGCACCGACGCACCGCTTGGCAAGCCATGCTGTGGCGACGTCCCATATAATGTGGAAGAAGATGGGCACAGATGTTAGCCCAGGGCCAGTCTTCCTCAGCAAAAAGAGGAGGATTAGCATGGATGTTAGCTCAGGGCTGATCTTCCTCACAAGACAAATAAATAAACAAAAAAAATAAAAAGCCTTGTGGCTAGGACCCGAGGGTGACCTCTAGGAGCTGAGAACAACCTCTAGGAGCTAACAGTCAGTAAGAAAATGGGGCTTCAGCTCTGCGACTGCAAGAAATGAATTCTGCCAACAACTTCATGGAGCTTGGAAGAGGCCCCCAAGCCTCAGATGAGATTGCAGCCCTGGCTGACTCCTGGATTTCAGCCTTGTGAGGCCCTGAGCAGAGAACTCAGCTACAATATGCCTAGACATCTGACCTAGTGATATAATAAATATGTTGTTTTAAGCCAG